GGGGGAACTATTTCCAGCAGATTCCCACAAGGATCAGTTCCTGGTACAACACTGCCCAGTATTTGCATCACGTGTCCAAACAATGATGTACAATCAGCTCCGAGAGGGGCTGGAGCACTGCCCCTGCAAGAAAGAGAGGGCTGTGTGAGCTGCACGTGTCCCACCTGCAGAAGAACGGGTTTCACGGGAGCTACCAGCCGCCTACGAGGAGGTGACACAGAAGCAGAGCCAGGTCCTTCACTGAGGTTTATAAGAGAACGAGAGGCCACGATCATAAATTGAAATGGGGAAACTTTCAACTGTATATAAGGAAAAAAAAATCACTATGAGGATACTCAGACGTTGGACCAGGGTGGACAGAGAGGTTATGAAACCTCTGTCCATGGAGGTTTTCAAGATGTGACTGGATGAAGCCCTGAGCAACCTCACCTGAAGTCATTTTTAACCATGTTTTGGGCAGAAACTCGGGCTAGATGACCTCTCAAGGTCCTCCCTGTGACCGTGACTTGGTGGATTTGGGCATCCAGTTAGAGAACTGCTTCAACACCTGCTGTAACGTAACGCTACGGGGAGAGACAACGGGTGGATGTTATTTGGCCACCGCTGGTACCCAGCCCCACACACAGCTGACCCCCTTTGCTGAATGGGATTCCCAGAACTGAAGCAGCTGGTTGGAGGTGACCACTGGTCCCTCATGGACAGCCCATGGCATCTGTGGTCCCTCCTGTGTCACCTGAGCTGTTCCTTCTGCTATGGAGAGCAGAACCGCTCAGGACCTGGATTTTTTTCTGCACAAGCAAGGAACAGATAACGACCCTTCTGCTGTGCTTTCCCCCATTAAGGTCAATTAGCCAGAGTCACCTATCTTACAAATGCCATCACGGCAAAGCTCAAAGCCTCACCAAAATTCAAATCCCTTGTTTTTAAAAAGGAATCACAGATATCTACTTTTTTTTCTCTTATGTGAAATCCCCCACCCTAATGTCATTTGAGGAGGGCTTTTTTTAAGCCCTACAGTAAGTGATGCAACTGTTGGCTCATGGCTGGTGTGGGGTTTGACAGCAGAGGACTGTGCTGGCCAGACCCACAACCCGCCGGGCTACGGCTTCTTGGATAACAGCTGATCCCACAAAATGGAATTGTGGCCTCATCCCTTAATAATTTATCAGAGTCTAATTTTGTACTCAAAACTAACCCTGTATTCCTAGGTGAAATAGTTTGGGAGTTTTCCTCCCCCCTAAGGAGACGGTGTGTTTCCCTTTAGCAGTTTTATACACAAAAAATAGACATTGATAAGGAGTCTCTGAGCTGTTTTAAACAGACAATGATGGTTTGAACTGACCCCGCCAGAGAAAGCAGACAGACCTACGTATTACTGCATGGAAACACTTACAGCATGAGGGGTGTAATTTGCATATTATAATTAACTCACACCCTAACTGCTCTTTGACAACAAACACCAAAGAGTGTACATCGGACAAATAAAAGTGTTTCCTGCCTCTTATGGCAAACAAACAGCTGGAGAGGAGGAGGAACCCCTGCAGTGTCACTGGGTGCTCTGCTGGATGCTCACACACACCGAGACACACACACCCCAGCAGAGCACTAACCCCCCAGTAAGTCAGGGGTTCCTGCCTCTCCTGTACACCCGGGGTTTGGATTTACCCTCGGCTGCACACAGGTGGACCAGGCTTTGCTGGATGAACACCCTCTGGGGAGCACAACTGCCCCCCGCCAGGGGATTTTGTCATCCCTTTACTTATTTGGCAGCAGGGGAGGGACAGAGACAGGCACAATGACATTCCAAAGGGACACGTCTTGGGCTGGAAAACGTGAGCCAGCCGTGTCCAGCCGCGAGGGCAGGGACACACGGCGGTGACATCCCCGCAGAGGTGGCAGTGTCACCCGTGTGGCACAGAATGCCTTCCTACACCCAATTGAAACAATTACTTGCAAAAATCCTTTACGCCACTTAGACAACTTCTCTTTGGATGGCAGGGGACAGGGTGTGCCAGGAATTTCCCCCCACCCCCGTCATGCTGAGCCCACTGCCCTTTCCTGTTACCTCTGGAAGGTTTTTTTAGGAGGATGCCCGATGGCCTCGCACCTTGTGGGTCCCCGCTCTGCCCAGTGGCAGGAGGTTTTCCAGCCTCTCCTTACGCCCAGCTGCTGGTACCACCTTAATGAGAAACCACTCGTTAAAAGGTGATTCAGTGGCCAGGGTCCGGAACAAGGTTGTGAGCTCGTTACACGACTTCCCCCTCCAACACTGAGCAACAGGGATAAGCATCCAGCAGAGGCTCAGCTGGTACCAGTCAGGCTTTTCTGCTGCTCCAGTAGGGTTACCGTGGTTTATATGACGTTTAGCTTAAAGCATTTACCATTAGGCTAATTTAGCTCCCAGCCTTTGGGTAACATGGGTTTCCGTGTGCCACCCTTTCACACCGAAACTCAGGATAATCAAGGAAGATTCTTTTCTATTCCTTATTATTCTTGCAGCCATCGGGGGGGGGGATGTTTTAAAGACAATTACTGAATTACCTCTGAGTAAGATGAGGATTTTTGGTAGCGCTCAGGGTGTGAGAAGTGGGTTTGTGTTCCCCCCAGGGCACTGAAGTTTACGGTAAAGCTGCTCCGGCGCTGGGTTTACGTGCCCTTTGCAGAGGAAGATCCACTCACCGAAACCTTCCAGGTTAGGGTTTCCTGAGTGGGTTGTAAATACCAGGCTGTTTTTTTTTTTAAAAAAAAAAAAAAAAAAAAAGCTTCAAATACAGTGGGGCCAGAGGAAGTTCACAGCTTCCTAAACTGTTTTTGTTCTTAAAGCAAACCCCTACGTCTCTCATCCCACCTCAGGTCTCCGCTGGGATCTGCTCCCAGCACAGCAGAAGCCGCCTTTGGAGCCATCCTGCCAGAGCTCTGGATTTCAAGACAATCTCCCAAATAAGCGTGGCAGAACAAAGCAGACCCAGAGAAGCTGTTACAGCACATTTGTAAACAAGCAGCAGCCAAACCAAGCTGCCTCTTGTCACAGGGACATACAGCAGGAGCAGAAAACTGCTGTGAAAAACAGCCCGGCAGCGTGACCGAGGACATTCCACCCCGGAGGAATGAGAGCCTGGCTGTACTGAGGTTTGGAAAAAAATGTTCTGAAAGATTCTCTTGCTGCCACATACTCTATTTTAGTGCCGGGGCTCATCCTCTAATGTCATCTATATTCTGAGTGGTAAAGGAGCCACCTGATGTCCAGCTTCATTTCAGGGAAAGGGAGGGCATAGGTATGATGGGCGCTGGGAGACAAGTTTGGAAGCGCTCGGATTACGGGGAGACAGCTCTGAGGAGAGACACCTTGAAAGGTCAGTGCCAGGACTAATGATGCTAACGACACAACCACTGCCCCAGGAGCTGCATGCACTGCAGCCAGGGCAGCAGGACGCCCCAGCCAGGCTCCTACCTCACCCGGCAGCAGCTCCGGGCATCACACAGCCACAGAACGGGGTCTTTCCTTGGGGTTTATCCACCCTCCTTACATGCAAAGAGTCGAGCATCTTCCTGTTAGAGAACAGCCTCCTGCTGCTGATCGTTCTCCTGCTCCCAGGCTGCTCCCATTCACGGCAGGAGAAGAGCTTCTCCAAAGGACTCAGTAACTCCTTCTCCCCAAAGCACACACACCACCCCTGTATGTCTGTCTGTATCCCCTACTAGATCCAAAAATGAACAAAGCATTTCTGCGCCCTTATTCTCCCCGATCCAAAAGGAAAACATTGCCTGAGAAACCTGTATTAGTTTTACTATGTTTTTTCTTTTTGCATAATAGGGCAAAGTTTGTTATTCTGCTTTTGATCACTGACGGAGTCCCAGAAAAATGCAAAGCTTGCTGTTTGGAGACCTTACACTGATTGTAACTTATCACGTCATAGGCCCTTTTAGCAGCGGAGACATCATTCTGGCTTAGTAATCCCTTCAGAGAATTCCTTCCCACAAATATAGAAGACTGCCATCGTGACGAGAAAAATCCTTTCCCCTCAAACTGTTTATCATCCAAGAATAAATAGCAATGAAAAGAGTGGCTTTCTGATATTTGAGGGGTCATAATCTAATCACCGGGGGGATGTTACTACCAGTGTTGTCCCTCAGGCACTTACCCTTCCCGGGGTCTTACCGTCAGCTCAATGTCAGTTAAAAAAAACACCAAAAAACCTGAAAAAAAAAAAAAAGAGCAGAAGTGAAGTTCTGTCGGGGCAGCAGCAGGCAGCTGTCCCAGTGGGCACGGGGATAGCTGGCATTGCTGAGCGGTGCCGTCACCCCCGCGGAGCCCGGAGCTCACATTGCATTCCCGGGGTGGGAGCAGGAGGCTCAGCCCCCCCCAGCCCCGCTGACGCCCCCCC